GTGTTCCTTTTGTTTTTTGCGCCGTAAAATGCTGTGTATGCTAATCTTCATAATCTGGGTAGGTTTAATAGCTTTCGAAGATGCCCACCATGTCTCTAATTGAAATGAAACCCTTAAGTTTCATAATTAAACAAATCATTAATAAAAGTCATTATTAACCTAATTATATCAAACACTGGTCTTTATTCCTAAATCTGCCCTTTGGCAGGGACCAATATGCATTAACATTTTTCCTGTGTAAGGTGTACTTTCCACAGGAACAATTTGCCCTATGTTTCGTAAAACACCCTTTGTATATAGCTGAGTCCCTCCCCCAGGGACATATGACTTTCATGTGGTACAGAAATATAAAATATATTACCCGTACTATCATTGTATGAGCTGACATGGAGACACCCAGCAACAAAACACTCCACCTGTTTTCCATTGTACGGTACGCACCGATACTTAGAAATGGTAGGATGATTTCTTTTCCGTCACGTAATGTTGGACACCAAGATACAGAGTTTCAAATACTACTTTTCCTGTCTTTTTTTTTTTTTTTTTTGCTGTGACAGATGTTTCTCTAGTGAGTGCGGGATTTCGGTTTCAAGGTAATGAACTGTCGATACAATTTTCAACTGTCGGCAGCAGTGGCGTCAGTCGGCATTCCTTCGTGAGAAAAATGACCGGGAAAGCGGGGAGGAGGGGGCTTTTAGGAGGCAGTACAAGGAAACACAAATATAAAGCTAAGCTAGAGAGAGCACAACTTTCTACGCCCAAAGATAGAGAAGCACCGCTGTACAGCCTTCACCGGCTCTAAAATACGTCTCATTGCAGGCGACGTCGTGCATCAAAACCCCTATGTCGCAGACAATCTCGTTTGATTCGAATGAAGGTTTGTTGTCGTTTTTTTTTTATTTGGGAGGTCATATGTTACTCAATATCTTGCCATAACAAGTTAGTTCAAGTTAGTTCAAGACACTGCAAACGGTTGAAGAGAGTTAAAAGAAAACTTTCAGCCTTTCCACTCTGGTGAAGAAGGAAGACCAGCGAAGCTGTGCTAGGATGGGACGACCTCAAACACGACTTCTTGGACGACCTCAAGGATCGACGCCTAGTGGACGACGTCTAGGACGGCCTCAAGGACTACTTCTAGGACAACCTCAAAGTCGACGTCTAGGACGCCCTCAAGGACGACGCCTAGGACTACCTTAGGAACGAAGTCTCGGACGACCTCAAGGACGACGCCTAGAACCACCTTAGGAACGAAGTCTCGGACGACCTCAAGGACAACCTCAAGGAAGAATTTTAGGGCGACCTCAAGGACAACGTCTACGACGACCTTGTGGGAACCGAGGGTGAAAGACGAGCAGAGGGCATGTGACAGGCGGTCGGCGAAGAAGTCACAAGCTGGCGCGAGACGGTGCATGCTGAGCGAGGCTGGAGCTGGATAAGAACGTCGGAGCCGGGCTGCCTGGCCTGGCCCATGGCGAACCCCGGAGCGGTCCACCAGCGAGGTTCGAAGTCCGGACCGGTGGAAACGGCGAGTCCTGGCCATATGACCTGGGCTACCACGATCCCGGGGTGGTTCCGCAGCGAGACTCGGGCATTGATAGCCCGGGACAGCCAGCCTACGCAGCACTGGCGTGGGAAAGGCAATCCGCAGGCCTGGACACGGACTCCGACTGTGAGCTCTGATCGATGGGCCACAACAGGGGTCGGCGGGCCTGGACTGCCGGCTCTCGACGACGGGCAACCGGGAGGTGCAGTAAACCCATTCGCTGTCTTCTCGTTGTGTTGTGGTGACGGGTAACGGGCGGAGCGCATACCGATCGGGCGGCGATTATTAGTAGAGGGATCTCCGTAAAGAGCCCCACAACCTCAAGGACGAATTCTAGGACGACCTCTAGGACGAACTCAAAGATGACTTCTAGGACGATCTCAAGAACAACCTCTCGAACAACCTCAAGGACGACCTCAAGGACGATGTCTAGGACGACCTCAAAGACGACTTCGAGGACGATCTCGAGGACGACATCTAGGACGACGCCAAGAGAAATTAAGCCTTTCCACCCTGGCTAAAACCAGAGAGGAAAAGCTGGAAAGGTTGCTGCCATCTATGAGCGAGGCCGGCAAGCCTGTGTTCTGGTTGCCGCCGTCACTCATAGATGGCGATAGCTATCGAGAGTTTTATGTCGACATTCTTTTGTGGGGGACACGATCCTCGGAAAACTAGCCCTTAACATCTCCGGTGTAAAAAGAATAAAATTGACTTTTTTAAGATCGACCATCAATTTTGCCACATTTACAAAGATCAGCTGCGAATCTGCATTAACAACACAACTTCTAAACTGGTCAAGTTTATCGTTTCATATATATTCGTAAAACGTAATTAAGGATGCTAATTTTAATATATTTTGCACCGTTCTATACGAAGTGCTTTGTTGGTAAATAATTTGTGAGCGTGTCTCTTTAACATGTTTACTTGACATGTTTGTAGCTTTTGTTCGTATGACTATGAATATTTTATTGTGATTTTAGTATTATGTACATATGGTGTAAATATATTATAAAATAAATAAAAAATCTTACTACATGCATGTTTTGGTGTAAAATAGACGGCTGTGCAAAGTAACATAGTGAAACCTTGGCAATCTCCATGGCTCGAGCTTCGAAATTTTATATCTCTAGAAGAACAGTAGCTACAAAGTGGGCATATAGCTGAATGCTCCTCCCAAGTGCATGGCACCATAAATATAAGAAAACATGACCCGGACCATTATTCAATGATCTGTCGTTGAAGCACCCATATGTTCATCTGTGTACTCATTTCCGAGCACTTGCTTAGCGTTTGAAGAAACGTTATTCTGCCTGGTGCTTGTTTTTTCATTAACTGCGGTTGTCCCCTTTGGAAAGGACTGCTTTCTCCATTACATTTCTTGTTAATAGTAGCCCCCCCCCCCCCCCTTTCTTTCATTAAGCTCTTCGAACTTTTGTAGTTTTGTCTGCAGCTCTAACTTTATGTCACACTGGTCACCCCTGTAATATACTAAGTTGGTCTCGTATCAACAGGATCTTATCTAATTGGCGACCATAAGGTAAACCAGACACTTACAAATAGCAGAACGAATGTGCGTAGTGATCTATGCGAAAGAATGCCACTGTGCTGAAGACATTGGGGGCGATATTTTGAACCTTATTTTTAAACGTTTGAGAAGGCTGAAACGATAACATCTCCAAATAGCTTTCAGATGCTAATTATTTTAGTAGATGATTATAGGGACAACCTTAATCTTTTTACTTAGGTGGTACATGCCGACAGTTGCTTTAAATGCAGTGTTTTTTTTAATAATTTCCCTCTCAAACAGAAAGTGTGAGAGTTGTACGAAGATTAGATGAGGTGCTCACTTCAGAAAATGTAAAATAGGTAAAAAATCGTAAGAGTGCAGGCGAGCTGGCGAATATTAACCATGTTGAATTAACCTGAGACTGGCGTAGAGCAGAAACATCAAAACGTAGAAGGGAACGTAAAGGGAACGTAGAAGTGAGCTGAGTTGGAGACGTCGTCCTGTCTATTTTCTGTCCCTCTTACGTTTTGATATTTCTTCTCTACCCCAGTCTCAGGTTAATTCAACATGGTAAAATAGGTGTGGACTTGTGTATTAATAAAATGGAAACGGAAAGACAGTGTTTATACTTAGTTCATCGTTATGGCTTGCGTTCATCGCTGGCGCTTATTGTCCGAGATCAGCATTTTGTAACATTATAGTGTTCGCAAAGGTTTAGTGTCGAGGGCAGGACAATATAGTTAATTTTCACTGGTCAAAGGCATTCGATTTATTTTGAACTGTCCAATATATAGCTCTTTTTTATGAATGGTTACCCAGCTACCTCACTAATCTATCAAACACGGTGTCCTGGTTTGGAACCGAACCCTTATTATGTCCTTAAGTCCGAAGTACTGCAATGGTCAAACCTTGTATTGTCGTTTTTTTTTGTTTTTTTTTATAGAACTATTAATGTTTTTGACTCAAGCATCTTATATTCTTAAGTGCTCCACTTCGCAGATGGCGTAATATATATATATTGGTATTTCAGCCTCTCTCAACCGTGCGCTATTACAGCCATACCTTGATGCTGTTCCCCTTTAGTATAGCACGAACATACAATTTTAAAATATCGGAACAACAAAGGCTGTTTGTTGTTGTTTTTCTCTCGAGGCAGAAATATTTCTTCGTTCCTATTTGGTTAGACAGTTTTTCCATAGCAAAATGTACTATCGCGCGTGCCCATAAAGTACGGTCTATTAACGCCTGAGTTGGAATCCTGAAATTTGTATCATTTTCAACCATCTATACGCTTGCATATGTGACTTCTTGCGCTACTCTAAACATCAGTTCTTACAGTATACGTCAACTATAATACTAGTCAAGTTTATCTGTCTTTCAAGTTTTTTTAATTGTATAAAGTTCTCTTGTCTAAGAGAATAGAATATGTGCAGCGGCAATTTTAAAACAATTACGATCACCGTAACGGCGGGAGAGTTCACGAGGATTATGCGAGTCGTTAAAATGGCCTTCGTATTTATGCTCACTGTGGCATAACGTGGTTATTTAGGCTCCTCCGCTTCTAAGTCTTATTTTGCTGTACCCTCATTGACAACGAGTTGAATATAAAGTTCTGTTTTACCCATGCGACTTAATACTTTTGGAATATATGCAGCTAATGTATGCTGGGTTAAAAACACCTTTATTCGAATTGTACGAAATTTAAAGACTTATGAAATTGGCACTCGTTGTAGGTATTGCTTCCGTTATATTTTTTTTGTAATTTTGTGTCAGCCTGCATTATAAAAGGCCTGTCAGCAGTTCAAGTGAAGAAGAATGCATGAACATATCAATATATATATATATATATATATATATATATATATATATATATATATATATATATATATATATATATTTCAGTTTCGAAGCATTACGAATTTTATTAAGATAATCAGATTATCGGCTTACATGAAGTAGTCTTCTTTTGGGACAGTTGATTTCCATTTAACATAGTCCAGACTGTAAAACAAAACTGATCAGTTTATAATAACATTGTTAACCCCATTTTCATTACAAAAGGCTTTCAGTTTCTAAACTGGCCTACAATTATTGACATTGCAGCATAATTGCAAATATTTTTCGGTGAATCCTTGCTCTCAAATATATATCAATCGTATGATGACCTATAATTAAAAGTACTAGCGTGCATTACTAAAGAAACGTATAAAAATTGATTCTTGCATTATTCAAATCCCCACTAGAAATTATGTTTCTATCTATGTAGTATTTTGTTATAAGTTTAACCATATTTGAAGTACCTAAGCTTCACTACCTCTGCGTAAAATATAAAACTGATATTTGTGACCTTAGCGTTCAACTGTTTTCAAACAGATGTACGCAAATTGGGTTTACGAACCTCAATCTATGTATGCAGGTCTCGTGAGATGAAGAATGATCAAAGTTTCTATGGAATTTAAGCTTGAAAGAGGACACGTAATTGGACCACCCAGTGTTCTTCTGCAGATTGCATTTCATCTTCTCAGATATACAGCCGCATAGGCGGCCCATATTAAATGTCTTGATCCTTGATTATTGTTTCACAAAATAGAAGGAATATCAAACAAGGAAGGAACGAGACTCTCTAGGCGATGTTTCATTACGAGCAGCAGTTGTGCCAGCGTCACAGGAACAAAGACTGAGCGCGTAACTGTATAACATAAAACAACTTGTCATTCTTCTTAACCAAGTGTAAGCCTTATAAAGACAGTGTATTCTATTAACTAAGTTCTTTAAAAGTACAAATATTAGAGCGCCAGTTTTTTTTTTTTTCATATATGTCAATAATATATATTGGAGATCCTAAAAAAAGCAGAATGTTTTTGCAATATGTGGTCATTGCGATTTTTTTTCGATAAAAATGAACAATTAAAGAACATTAGACTGGTTGACAATAGGCCTTAGAGCAAAGCAAGTTATCACTTGGTTCATTATGAAAAATAAAGCATGAATTCAGCTTCTATTTGCGCTTTGATTGGCACTGTACAAAAGTAAGCACTTACTTAAGTTATGCATATATTTTAGTAACTTATTTTACTATGGCTTTTGTTTCAATATATCTCTGAATAAATGAACACCAGTCATTCCTTTGTTGCTATCTTTATTAGGCCTTAAAGATCGAAACAAATTTTGAATCGGTTGCATTGGACGTTAATGTGCTGCTGGATTACAGCGCTTGATAATAAAGCTTTCAGTCTGGTATTTTGTAGATAAATGTACGATATAAATTAAGCTAACTTATAGAACTAGGTTTCGTCCAATTAACGCTTTAAAGTGGACAAATAGCTAATCTTTTTTTATTCATTAGCGTGCAAAAATATGATGCGCTGGAAAGCAATACTTAGTGGCAGTGTGTCGAACCGAAAAAAATACGGGTTCGGTTACGGTTCAGGTTCAGGTAAATTTATTTTGTTCCGGTTCAGTTCCGGTTCGATTAATTCAATCCGCGAACCGGTTCGCGAACCGGTTCGGGGCGCTGAACCGGTTCGCGAATCGGTTCGGAAATTATAAATGACAAATTGCAACATCAAAATAAATTACAAATAAAACATCTGAAATCAGCACATACGAAACGGGATACATCGTAGTGTAAGGCTCAGGGATTTCTACCAGGAATGGTTTCTTTATGTGCACTCAAAGGTTACCTCACCGACGTTTACGCATTCGGACTTCATCTAATTGGGTCCGACGCAGTAGCAGTAAAATCCGCGACCTCCTTACAAACCCACTTACAAGTAGAACTCGCTAACTATCCCGCCACCTCGTCGTGTAAGCAATTGAAGGAACAGTGGGGAGAAAATACAGCTGTCTTTATTTGAACTAGCTTTCGGTAACTCAAATTAGACCCTTAAAGAAGTTTTCATTAAACAAGATACGGAATATGAAAAACACTTCACCGAACGCAACGCCAGAAGGACGTAATAGGATAAATATTAAAATAGAAGAGTTCGCTGCCTCACAAATATGTTAGCTTCTAAGTGCCTATACGAAACCGGATGCATTATTATCAAACTCCACAGCCTTTTCTTTTCTCATTGCGATGGAAGCAAGCTTCAAGAACCCGCGCGTTCTAGAAACGTGTTATGAAATGAGCACACAGCAGCATTTAGGATTTACGAGATTGTAGGAAAGTAAAATCCCGTGACGCGATTTTTTTTTTTTTTTTTTTTTTTGCACAGCCTTTTAATTTTTTTTCTTCCGTGCAAGCCGCGGCCAGCGCAATACTGGTTCCTATGTCAAGATTCATGGATGCAGCGTTTATATTCCTAAGACTAAGTGGAGAAGAAAAATATGTAAGCGAGGGTGTGTGTCAGTTGACGGCACTTAAAAAACAAATGGCATTGATAGCACATTCATTGTCAACAGCCGCAGCTGTTGACAATGAATGTTGACAATAAATGAATGAATGCAGTTCTGCTGTGCCGCAGGCGCAGCAGAACTGGGCCGAACCGTTTTGACATGCGCCGGTAACCGTTATTTTTTTTCCGGTTCAGTTCCGGTTCGGGTTCATCGCGATAACAATATAACGGTTCGGGTTTGGGTCCAGTTCCGGAAAAAATACCGGTTCGGTTCCGGTTTTCGGTTCGGTTCGGTTCCGGTTCGACACCCTGCTTAGTGGACAGAGGAACGTTTCCATATTATATTTGAAAACCAATGCATGTTTTGCCGCCACTCTAAGGGCATGGTGCTAGTTATCAAAAGTAGCATGTGCAACTGCTTTTCTCAATAAAAATCGGGCCTCCGCGTAAGTCTTTGGCAGACAGAAGCGGATAGCCGTGTTTAAACAAAGTAAATTAGTGCCTAATTACATAAGATATAATATAATATTGATTGTCGCCTGGCGTAAGATACGAATGCAGCTAACCATCTAGTGTAAATAAGTGTGAGAATAAATACCAGGAGTAATAAATTAACGTTACTCACCTGCTTGTGATTAACTTAGACAACAATATTCCCGCCTTCGGAGTGTCGTCCACAGTGTCCCAATTGTACGTCAGAAGCATTGGCACCATCTTCTCACAGAGAGTCGTGTACCTTGAATATCCTTTAATATACACGTTAAGAGGGAACTTTGTCATATGTATGACGTTTTCTTATTTTCTAATACCTTGTTAAGTCAGATTCTTCATTGTGCCTTTAAACTACCAAACTATTATACATAGTATTGGGTCTCAGAAAGGTCGCGTAACGTGAATTTCTAGATAGAGTTAGCAATGTACCTATTTAAGGTACATTGCTTTCACATACCTTTAGCCTCTCGTATACCTGAATTTTGTTTGTATATTTTACATGAGTGTTATCTTCCGATTTTTAACCGTCGTAGCTATTTCTGCCGTCAAAACATTATATTATTATTATTATTCAGTCAATCAATCAATGTTTTTATTCAAGTGCCCAGGAAAAACCTTCCGGCCTCAGTACGGTTGTATTCAGTCAACATAAGTGGTATAACACAATACAAATCAACACACGAGAGGGACAAAATAAAAAGAGATTAAAAGCCACATATAAGTCATACATATAATAATGACGGTGCTACCGCCACGATCAATTTGTAGGTAAAGCGAAAAAAGAAAGTCAGATTCTAAAACTCGGCTTTGAACAACGCGAACTAGAACCGGAAACAGTAGAAAAAGTTTAGGCGTTGACGTTCAGCGCTTTGATGAACTTCAGTGCATTAATGTTAAATAACAAGAGCGACCAAACATGGGGAATTATGTGCGTATCCAGTCCTTGACACGAGGTAATTAAGATTATTTAGACGCGCATTGTCGAATGGTGTTTATGTCTCGTAGTTATCAGGAGAATTTTTAAATGTACTTTAAACACCAATGCAGTGCTGTCAATTAAGACATGGATAAGTTTGTATAGAAATAGAATAGCAGCATATTTGTCTCCTACGCCGCAGAGTAGGCAGCGCCAAGCTACGTTGAACTGGGACAGCTAAGTCATTGACTTTGCTGGACGCATTGCACGGTGAGTATCGATGTCAGTAGAAAGAAAAACTGGTTCTGAACACTCGCGATCTATAAAATTAGTTGTACAAATTCCATTGCAAACAAGAGAAGGATATTCAATGTCTGGTCGACACAAGACACTGCAGTCTGTGAGAAAAGCGCTAGGGTTCTTAAACTCTTAAGTGATGCGGCACGCAACACCCAGCGTGGGGAGAGCTGCGCTCACTGTGTGATCAAGATGGCTGTAGAAACGTAATGTATTGTCAAATACCACTCCAATATCTTTGATTTCCTTCCCACTTGTCAAAAGATCTGACTGAATGTTAAAAGGAATGATAATATTATGTGTCTTTCGTGTCTAGGACACTACTTTTGTTTTTGAAGTATTCAGCTTTAAGTCTCTATGGGTGCACCATTTTTCGAAGGCATTCCCATACTTCTGTAGCAAAACACAGTCAAGACCGTCTCGTACCTCTATGAACATCTTAACATCATATTCGTACTGTAGAAAAGAAGAGTAGGAAACCATCATTGAATTGACAAAAGTCTGAGGACATCTAAACGCTTTTTTATGAATTGTGAAAGCGAAAGCATGAATATCGTTCTTCCGCTCCCTTAGTTCGTCTGCGGCGTAGTGGCGTTGACGGCCACGTTTCGCCAGCCGACGGCCGAGCGCACGCTCTCGTGAAGTGGCCGCGCCGCGCTGAGCTCGGCCGTGCATCCCCTCCGGAGTGCGCCCGGGCGGGCTCTGCGCCGCCACCACCTCTTACCGGCGGCCTGGCCACTGCGTGAGCTGCGCCGCCATGGAGAGAGTTTCTCAGGTGGCGTTTTTTGGAACTACGCCGCACGAAAGCAAATGGGAGCCTCGTTTCTTGATGACGCGCGCCAGCCAATGGGAGCCTATCCATCAGATTTCTGCTACAGGCGACATTGGGGAAGGAGAAAGGGCCGTTTGGAGCGGCCTCAAATCTGATGACGTCGGTTCGCTCCAAGGGACCGTTAATGTTTTCGCATTAAAAACGGATAACAGGAGGGGACTGAGCCTTGAAGTACTCCCGTTGTAGCCTGTTAAGTTGCATAATAATTACCATTCGCGCTAACAAACCACTTTCTATCACGCAAGTAACTTATGAGCAACGAAAGTAATAAATGTGAACGTCTAGTTTCGACAACTTTGCTAGCAATATGTAATGATCTACAAGGGGAAATGTTGTACTAAGTCAAAGTAAATACATCATGCTGGCCTCTATTAGAAACGACATGAGCAGCTGTTAGCATAAAGCAGGTGATATTAGTCGTGGTCGAGCGACCCACCCTAAAGCCATGTTGGCTAGGGAGGAGAGAATGTCTGAGTTGAAACGACAATACCTTGTGCGATGCTGTGACGAAGAGTTTCGAAAATAACACTGACTGTAAAACAAACGCAGACAGAATCAACCTTGGTTTACCACAGGCGTTTTATGTCCGATGAAAGAGAAAGATGTGTTATGGGCACGTTGTTGCCGTTTTCCTAAAAATAAAAATTTGCCATTGCAATACCAATGTTGCAGAAATCGTGTGAATGCCACTATTCGCTACAGAAAACGTCATCATTTTCAAGATAAGTTTTAGGTCGCATTTTGATGTTTATAAAACCTGGACTTCGGTAAATGAAGTTAAGGCAGTTTAAAACACGTCTTCTGTCGATGGCACAATTACCAAACATTTCAGATCCTATTTAAAATCAATTACCAAAATCAATTTCAATTGATTCTTTGCTTCCGCGTCGTGCGTATAAAACAGCTAAAATATCACGCCTGTATTAAGGTTCGGCAGAAATACTCAGAAATGTATTTGAAAATGCAAATACTAAGATCCATAAAATTGTAGCTAAAATATTGATACTCAAATATATATGTTAAAATGTTTAGCGATACGTATCGGAAATACATTATAAAAAAGAGGCAAAACGTCTTTGGAAATACAAATACAGGAATACATTTTAGGGAGGGCAGAAATACAAATACTGAAATACTGATATTGCAATACATTTTTAAAGTTGGTTTGAGACGCCAGCTGAGATGAAACTTGAAGTTTGAAGTGGAAGTTTTGAACCCGAAGTTACTTTCCCGCAGGGTTGGCACTTCGCCTTGGAGGTAGTGGTTCCGGACGAAAAGGAGTCTTCAATGAGCACAAAAAACGTTCCATCAAGGATTGATCGCGGTCCCTTCCCTGACATCCTGTCTGTCTGACGAGCCATGTGAAAAGACTTTGACCTCTAAATAATTTCCATGTCACCCTAAATCCCATCAAAACCTCATTACGCCCCTGTTTATTAAGTGCGTCCCAGTCAACATTGATCACATGGCGTACGGTGGAAAGAACTGGCATTTTTTATTTGTAGGTGTTGCCTTAAACATGAAAATTTACCCACGCTGCTGTATGAGAGAACAATACGTACTTTCGTTGTAAGTGACCTCGTTGAAGATCGTGCAGGCAGTTAGTTGAATTTAGAATTTTCGACAATAGTGGACCACCTGAAGCATTCTGGAGTACATCTCTTATCTTTTGTTAAGGTTGAAAAAACGACACGGCGGCATCCCTGTTGTGACGGTCCTTCCCGCCGACCCCGCGCCTCCAACGCGTGAATGGCAGTCTTCAAGTTTCGCCTAGCATCATCCAAATCCAAATCCATCAGGTGCGAGCTCTCTGAGAAACAGCGTGCTCGAGACGAGTCACAGATGTACGACGACTGGGTCGACACAGCGAGGCGCGTCTGGCCCCCTTCCTGGGTATCGGTTCACCAGAGAAGCAGGTCACGTTCACGTCGACTGATGACGTACCTTTGAGCCATGCAATATTACGGGCGCAGAGACATTCGGATATTGTTTCAAGTCAACCACCACCAGGCTCGTGTTGCAACGGACTGCGACTCAGCATTTCCGGCTGGGTGTACTGTGTAGGCTAAGGCAAGAGACACGGTTAGGAGCGGACAATGGATGCCAGCAAACAATTACTCATGGAATTCCTAGCTGGGGACCTGCGGCAAAAGATGCTAAGACCCCACTGTTCGCACGCTACCTGGTTCAAGGCCCCGACTACGCAACACTTCTCAGAAGAAAGAGGACGCATAGAAAATAGTTTGGAGAATCGGAAGGAACTTCCAATAGCACAGTAACAATGGCCCAGCACCCCCTTGAACCTGAAGCCCATGCTAGTTCCGAGTTGCGGCAGTGACGTGGCACGTCATTTAAGCTCGCAAATGTTGGAAAGGGCCCGTCTCTCAAGATATCTAGGTAGCCAATCTCCCTATAGGATTAGTGTCGTGATGTAGGGCGGGTTGGTTCATAGTAAACGGAAATAAACTGCGCGCAAAAATAGACGAAAGGCGCTTGTGTCGTTCGCATCTTCCTTTCGTCCTTGTCTATTTTTGCGCACTGTTTATTTCCGCTCCCCATAGGGAAAGGCTGCACCGTATATATCAGGGGTGGCCAAGCTGCGGCTCTTCGCGTGGTAAAGTGCGGCTCGCGGCTCCCTCCCCTACCCCACCAACCCCCTCCCCCCTCTCCCCGGCCACCCTCTTGGCCACCCTCCCGGTCACATGAACACTTCCCCAAAAAAAGAATTGGAACGCGTTTTAATACGAAAGACGGGCTGCGGTTTGGTAGTCTTGGGCTACCTAACGTACAAATGGACTGCTTTTGACTCGGATAGATTGAAAGTAGTTCGAGTTTCGTTCATTGTTCTGGACAAAACCTACCCCCCGGCCGCGCAAGGTGGAGTGGTTAACCGTTAAGGACCTAATAGAGAAGTTTCAACTGCCCCTCTTCCCCTTTTATAAAATCATTATGGTCCATAGCATTCACTGTTACAAATACATAACCTCTCCTTTCTCTAAAGCACAAATTGTATGGCCCAAACTGGAAACCAAAACAGTGTCTTTTGTCTTTACCCGCATGCACAATGACCTGTTTGTTGTCCTGCATTTACCTTGTCTAGATGAGCGGTAAGACCCCTTTTGACGATGGCTCCAGATTCGAAAGATGATTGCGGTTGCATTTTCCCAGGACCATTAGCCCTACACTGATCAAATATATTGCAAAAAACCGTCTTTTCTTTTTTTTTTTTTTTTTTTTGAGGGGGCGGGGAGGTTCGGCACATCAAAATTCTGAATTTATCGGACGAATCTGAATTGTCCAAAATTTTACCGGCAGATAATTTTCGGATTCATCCGAAAACATGAAACACTAAAGGTCGCTGCCAATTATGTTATTCGAGAATTGGGCCTGCACCCAGTGTGCAGTAAGAAGGCTGATGTAATAATTTCTGAATTGCCGCTGACGGTGCGGTGCTATTCGCATAGCAGATTATCTGGTTATTTGTATAAAATTTAAACTATATTATTTTGTTGGAAATACTGTTAAATGCCACGAGGTGGATTATCGTATTATACGCTATATATATTATTCTGAAAAAAAAAATATAGATAACTTCAACATCGTTATACTACTTACGTTTTATATCACCGCTATTTTATCACCCTACTACCGTCACCAGATGCCAAGCTCTGAACTAGTAAGAAACACCTACCTTCTAGGTCCCTCAAGCGGCCAGCATAGATGTAGTATCTGAAAAAACAAACATGTTTTTCTGTTGTTTTTATCTGAATAACCATATAGTAGATGATATCTGAATGATGAGAGAACCCAGATTTATTGAATGAAATGGGCGATGTTGTTTTTATCGGTGCCCAACTCTGACGCGACTCAAACATGGTTCCATTGTAACATTTTATTTAAAGAGAAGATTCGATGCCAAAGTTTAGCGTCAGTGAAGCGGCGTTGAGAAGTCGAAACATGATATGAGCTTTTACATAGGGCTGCTTTGTCAATCTGGCCGCTAAGTCAGTAACAGAAGCTCCGCGTGCCTAAAAGGAATGATAATTTTAAAACCGGTAAGAATTTTTCGCCGTCCTGCTGAAATTGAGATTTATTTGGTCTTATAAATGTGACCGTGAGCCGTTTGTGATATCATCGGCATTTCGGCCTATTTATAAAGTCACGAGGCGGAAGTAATTGAACACGTTGTCATTCTCAAATCCTCAGCGAGTTCAACCCCGTCTTCTTAGGGAAGCATTTTCGAACACAGGAAGATGTTGTTTTTCCATTAACTATTCGACGACAATTTAAGAGCGAAATATTTTTACGAACGTGAGATGGATGGATTCCCTAGTAAAAAGAGAGGAAAAGGGACGAGTTCGTCTCCATAGAATGGTGGCAAACAGTGGTATCCCAGAGTTCTGGAGTATTAAGAATTTCATTATGTTTGGTGGGGAAGAAGGTTGGTTAACTTCAATTCGAGACAAACGACATTTCCACAAACGCCAGAAATAAGGGCATACGTTTTCTTTTTTGGGGGTATAAACACGTGAATTGCTGTAAGAAACATAGCTTATGTCTGGAGCGCGGGAACGATGAGAACACAAATCTTCGGGATTGCTTTAAATGGACACCAACAGGGTGTTTATGCTCGCCGAGGTCTTTATTTGTACATAACATATGAGAGCCCAGCCACCCAAGACAAAATTTGGGGTTTAAAATTCGTTTCTCTTTTCTCCCGAAAATTGATAATTGAGAACTGACCAGTTTGAGTCGCGCTCGCTCTCTTCTCCGTGATCACGTGCCGTTCAGACACAACCGCAAATTATAATTAAAGTCCTGGATCATCGATCGCAGGCAAACACCTAAAAATAAAATTTAAGAAAAAATAAACTTACACCTATTTTTGTGGTTCTTAAGAAGCTGCAAATACGTTGATCGAAAAAAAAACAAAGTTGCAGAGTAATGGGACCACATGCACTGCGTAATTGTCAACATGGCGTCTTATCGCGGGAGCAGCGCGGGAGTCGCGGGCTTGACGGCTGGACGAAACGGTAAGATAGCGGCGAACGAATGGCGTGAGACCTCTACTTCAGAGCTGTCGTTCGCGGTACTAACCTGTCTGTCTTTTTTGGAAAGGAAGTGTTTTTAGCGTTCAAAAGAATTTGGATTTATTCCGTACGACATGCCCCTCCACCAAGCTGATTCGCACGAAGACATCGCCTAGTCGTCGCCCCTTCCCCATGGCTGAAGACATCGCTCGCGTTGCGAACAGGAATTCGTAAGAGCTTGAAAACGCCCATACGTCAAGCGCGAAGCGCGTACCTGGTGTTGAATATGCATGTGTACGATTTCTTTACAACGTGCGAATGTGGTCAATGCGTAATGCTGTCCGACTTTCAGCCTGGGGAGTGCTTATTGCAGCGTGGAATCGGCAGCAAACATTCTGATCTACAGTCGACTGCACGCATTACTGCGAATGAGGTGTCCACTCTCGTGCGCTTGACCACTACAATGTAAAAACTGTCGTCTGCATCGCACGGCCGGAGAAGTAGAGGAAAAAAAACGCGATCGGGTGTAGCCACGTCATTTCCGGCAACTGTCGCCTCCTCTGCATTTCTTTATACTCCCTAGTCGACATGCCACGCCACTATTCCGTTATCGCGTCTCGGTTTCGGACAATCATGAATTATAAATGCAGGTTGTCAGGACATTTCTGCCTAACATATACTCTTGCATAATAACCAGAGTATATATATATATGTATGTAGCGTAGATAGCAACATTCACCAATGTTTCGTTGTTAATACACCATGCGCGCACGTGCACCATACAGGTTTAAATGTGTGCGTTTCTGCTAAGTATGCGATTCCAATTTTGTACTTTTTGAAGCGTTGATGGCGGCCGGCAAACCCGTTGAGCGCGCTTCTTACTGGGCACCGGTGAACTGCAGAGTAGCAACACCGGCGCAAGCGAGCTCCACGGTTGCTGCTTCTCCGCAATTCGCCAGTGTGCGGTAAGAAGCGCGCTCAACGGGGCTAACCCACCGCAAGCACCATTTCATAAAATAAGAATATGGCAGTTATCTCGGAGGGAATATCAAAAAGCGTGTTACTCGAAAATTTGAATATTTACACAATCCTACAGAAAACCACTGGAAAATTTGATTGAATAGTTTCGCTTCGGTAACGCTTCCTTATCAAGCTCACCTTGCTGCACCTGTGTTTGTAAGTTTTGAATAACATTTGCAGATTACTTTGAAGGAAGTGTGTGGCTCTTAGTCTGTTCGAATCTTGTGATGTTACACTTTCATGGTAAGGAAATAAAACGGAGCACAATGCCGATGCTGCTCTTGAAACATGATTTCCAAGCGCTAAATTTCTACATTCACGTGTATGCCCATGGCTGTCATTTGTCACATATTTTAAATAGACTTTGACGTAAATATGTAATACTATTTTTCTCATTATTACCCCGGTGCTTTCTTATATCAACGAATTTATTCTGAAATAGTTTTTTTTATATTAAAGGAGCCATGAAACGATTCTGAAATCGAATATCATCCACCGATCGTCGTAAAGGGTGTGAAAAGGAACACAAAAATAGAGAGCCAAAAAAAAATTCTTCGCTATCGAACTTTTAAAAGAAAACTGGACTCTTCTACGTTTTCTTTCCTTCGAAAGCTCTCTACTTTTTCACTATGAGGCACCCGCGGAACCGCAACACGTCAGCCGAATCCACGTCGCCTATTGGGTAAGAGCCTACCTCACCAGCACCGCGACCATAAACAATAAATAGCCAGAAATGTTTACTAAACGTTTGGTTACATAATATTCATATCCACATTTTGTAGAATAAATAGAGATGTGGCGAAAATTGCCAAATTTGATAATGCTGAGAGCCAAGCGCCATCTATCGTCTGGTAAACGAAGCAACTACTGCGCTTGCGCAGTAGGGCCGACAGCGTCGCTCAGTTACTTGGTTGCGACCACGTGACCATGTTGCGACAACCAACGAACGTTTATTTTTCTACGTGTACGGTCCAACCTTCCTTTGCCGAGTGTCACGTCAATATCGAGTTGCAATCATAAAAGATCGGTCTCGAAGCGTATACCAACAGCGCGAATACAGCACTTCCATCAAACGGGCGCGTTCGTTCCGAGTGTCAACAGGTACATACGTGGCTCTTGCTGACAGTGTCGTAGTTCAACCGTATCTTTTTTAACGTCGGCTCGCTCCTGTATCTCCGAGGCCACGAAATTTGTTTCTATCTACGTCGCTTTGCAAACGACTGACACGGGCCGCCTTTTAATGACAGTTGGGTTGACTTCTGGAGTCTTTCCCGGAAGACTCGCCGCACTTCCCAACAGGCATACCGGCGTATGGGACTAGACCCATGCTGTCGCTGTAGCGCAACATATCTCATTGAATTTCGCTCAGCTGCGATGTGTCCATGGCTATCACGGCGATGAGAGGCGCCGATTCCGAAAATACGTTGGTGACATCAGCGCCATCAGCGCAGTAAAACCTACCGGCGCACCCCCAACTCGCCGCCGCTAATGCAGCTAACACTCCCATTCTCGTACTTCCGAGAGAACTTCCGGTTCCTGTGCCAGAGTATGTCACGACCGTCAAAATTACGCCGCAAATTGTTTTCCGGTCAGTTGGAGAGAAAGAAAAAGTCGATATTTCATTCGTTTTTTGCGTAGAAGTGAATAAACCGAGACGAAAACGGATGCCTGTTCGGCGTTCAGTGAACGTTGAAGGTTTAATGCAAAAGTTATCCGGCAAAAGTACAAAGGTGATTTCATGGTCCCTTTAAGTGTCCCTTTTTTTATTATTATTTTACAGTCAGGTTAAAAACTCTCCATAGCCAAATGTCTTCGCGGGACGAGTAGATGTAAGAAACAGGAATTGTTTCAATCCATGCCTCCTTCTTTTTCTAGAACAAATATTTATATGCAGCAGGTTCTTAAATATAACAGGCTGTTTTTTTTTTCTTGTTTTTTTGTTTTTTTTTCTTTTTGCGTTGTGAAAGTTTTGTTAATGCGGGTTGCGCAGGTGAGTTATCCGCCCAGGGGGACATAACACAGGGGGATAATCTTCAGGACATCAAGAAAAGTACGAGTATGTTACTAAAGTTTTTAATTAGTGACCATAAACATGCGGTTTTAATTATATGCTTTGCTCAGTTTCGGCGAAACCCACTAAATCAGTGAGCTTTAGAAAAACTTGGAGCGCGTAGGTAGCGCAGTGCTGCTATAAATATGCCGCGTGTGCAACAGGCGCAAAGTTATTGGTGCGAAAACGCACCCACGCTGCTTTTTTTCTATCGTAAAGGGGTTAGGACACTTTAAAAATAAATATAAGATAACTATACTGCTAGGACCCATGGCATGTTCCTATATTTTTGTCAATTTGTTTTCAAAAATGCATGAAAGATTCGCAAATAAATCAATTTATACGCCGGACCCTCCTCCGAGTTACGTTTTGAGCACGTGGTTTCAAGGTGATTACGCCTACAGCATTGCTCCCTTCGTTCAAGTCTCTGACACTTATCTCAGCAGCGATCAGTGTGATTGTTATCAAGAGATGTTAGAAGGTGTTTATTTTGACTTCAACCCGCTGGCGACCAGCTCCAGCAAAGACAAGATCGTGAGGCGTCGTCAGCGACGATCTCGCAAGTACATGCAGGGTGGAAGGTCAAAGGGCAAAGGGGCGAGAGTGAGAGTAGAGTGAGTGCATGTGAT